AAACGCGCGTGTGGTCTATATTTGCCAGTTTGTTGACTACTTTCCACTGGGTTGCTGTACTTTAAGTTTTTACTGTTTTCAGGTACCACCAAGATCTTGGTTCCTTTCGTAAGATATGGGTGGTTAGCTATACTGCGCTGTGCGCCAGTTTTGTGCCTGTAGTTTCTTGATATATCATCAGTCATGACAGAACAAGATGCTGTTTTCCATAAATAGAGAAATAAATTAGAATTCTCTGTGATACTTGCTGTGTTTTTCCCCTTTAGATTTTTTTTTTTTTTTTTATAAAAAAATTTGGTACCTTATTGAAGAAGTTCATAGCTGTTGTGGTTGCACCTTCTGCACTTCACTGTTGCAATCAATGTGCAATAATTGATGAAGGGCTAAATTATTTGATGATGTTTTTATTCTGAGAGTTGCCCTTAAGGTGCAATCTTGGGTAGCACAAGATACAACCAGAACCCCTCTTGTTGACACTGCAAAGCTCCCTCTGATTAAATCAAACCACTGGTTTATCTGGCTCAATAAAGCATCATGTTTCTAATTATTCTACATACCTCCCCTCCCCACACCCAATCTCACAATGTAGTAATGCTTGGGCTGAATTAATAAAGCATATATCCACTTGGTGTGATTTATCTCCACAAGACATCCTTCTAATTATATATTTGGGTGATCAAGCTAGGTAGACCTTCTGGGTCCTATGTGTAGCTACTGGAATATTGATTCAGTGAGGTTCCCTTATTGCATGGGGAGAACCTTTTGTTGTCAGATAAGAATGTTAATCCACACAATGCAGCATATGCTTCATCTTGAATTGGCTTAAGCTTCACCTGGCACTTATCCACCGGTTAATAGTGTCTCTTCATGGGATGGACTCCTCCTTTCTTAATTATGACTATTAATGTGTCATCAAAATTAAATAATGCCAGCCCAATATTGGATGCCTAGATTTGTTGAAGCTTTCCAATGTTCAAATCTTGGGGTATAGCCTATATATATATATATATATTTTTTTTTTTTTAATATCTAGATTAGATATGGAGAAGTGAAGGAAAAAAGAAAAAAAAAAGAATTTAATCTATTAAAGCTTCAAAAATTATCACGATATCTCCTAAGTGGTGAAAATTATAGTGGTAGTCCTTTCCCTCCTCACATGGGACATGTGATTAGATATGTCCACATTGAATGGATCCAAAGTCTTGCTGCAATGCAAATCATTTTTCCATTTATATTTCTCATATTGACTTTGAAATGTTAGCCGCACTCCGATTAGATTAATTTTTTGTAAATTTGCAAAAGCAATAAGATATGTAATAAATCGCATTATCAACAAAACCAGATGTCTTTTGATGCCACAAATTTTCCCTTTCTCTTAGATATATATTTGCATAATCTTTTACTTATTTTTTCTTCTTTTTCATAGTGAGGGTTTGTTCGATTGGTCTTTAAAAGTAAAGTGGGTGAAAAAGAGATAATGTGCTTTGCCCTGCCCATTTTTGTCATTTTGAAATGTTGTCTTCTTGCACACATGAGTATTCAAAGGGGATTTTAGTAAGTTTATTTATTAATGCGTAGGTTCTACTCGAAACTAAATGGAACTAGCCTTGAACTAGCCTTGAATCAACCTACCCTACTTGTTACTATGTAGAGTCTGGTTACAAATTCTTGGAACCAACCCCCACACAAGCCGGTTCCAAGGTCTAGGGCTTTACCCTATCCAAGGCAATTCCGACAACCAACCTTGGTTAGCCTTAGTTGACCTTGGTGGAAACAATCTTGGAACTGAACTTGCCTTGAAATAAACCCCAAAGTACTTTCAAGATGTGATGATTTGGACCCAAGCACTTACGGTTGTAAAGACCATGATCTCACTTAACCATTGAGTCACTTAAGTGATTTGATAATTTTTCTTTAATTTAATATTTGAATTTGTATAATAAATAATGCAAAAGATAATATTTACAATATTTAATGTATAATGATAAGTTTTGAACTATATTATTATTATTATTATTATTATTGAAAAACAAGTTTTTAAAGAAAAGATCCCTCTTTTGGGGTATAAAAAAGCATGGATTCGATAGCTAAACCCTAGAATCACCAAGACCAAAATCGACTCTAGATTCTAATTTCTGCCTTGGAACCAAATCATAAGAACCCATGCTTATACCTATTTGTCACAATGAAGGTTTAGGGAGCTAAGTGTGACTACCCCTTGTACATGCACATTGCTATTGTTTATGAGGAATTTTAATGATTTTTAGAATTTTTAAAGAAAATATTAAAAGTAAAAATTCAAAAGAGAAAATATAATAATGGAAAGTTATATAATAGTCTGGAAATAGACTATTATGCAACATTACAAGACAATCATTTGTCATTTGGATATACTAGTGTAGCAGTGCTATGCATATGTGCAAAGTATATATGACACATGGAATTTGGATTTATGACCTGCACCAAAATGAAGGTAAGTATCCCTTTATATAGCATAGATAATATAGATATATTTAACCTAATTTTCTTTCAAATTAAATTTCTTATTCTTTGAGCACATGTATCTGTAGTCAACAAGTTTCATCATTGGGTCTTCAAGCATATCGGCATCACTTCCATCTTCAATGAACCAGAATATATTTTGTGCCAATGTTCCTTTTACCATTATTAAGACCTTTCCATGCTTTCCAACAATTTCTCTTTATTCCTGTTGATAAGAAACCATAGAATAATAAAGAAAAATACCTATTTAATTGACCCCAAAGTTTTACGTGGAGGGGTTGTCACGTAAAGTAATTAGACCATCGAAGGGGCTATTAGCTAGGTCTTCCCACTAAGAAGACTGAAGAGAGAGAGAGAGGTCCATTTCTACCAATAGTAACAAACGTACGTTTGAACATATATGGCAGTGTCTTTGTGCCTTTGTGCTGACTTGAGCATACGGTTCACTTGTCACTCCGCACCTAACAACTTGGCAAAGGAATCCGCCAATAGTTGCCTTCTCTGTACTAGTGCGTTATCTTGACTATCTTCCTTCCTATAAGGATATGTCAACAATCAACAAGTCTGACGCTAATGACTTCTCCAATTTCAATCGAAAATTGCTCGAGCATCAGCAGAAATGTTGTTCGAGTTAATTCCATATATATATGCCATATCCATGGAGGAAAGCAAAAATAAACCAACTAGTAGTCCAGTTTCCAATGTACCCAGAGCTTGAAACACGCCTGACTCCCTATGGTGGCTTCACCCATTTGACCATGATAGCTCTCATGTTGGTCTCGATCCTGATGATGAACTGGTTGTTGAATATATTGACTGCGAATTGTTGCCATCAATGCCAAGCTTGTATATATTATTGTTCTTTCCATTACACCTACAGTCTACAGAAGGGATGGAATTAAGAGTGAACAAACTCATTGCACTCAAAAGATAGTCGGTGTTCTCTATACTGTTGTGGTGGTCTGCCCAAAACCGGCATTTTCAAGATTGCTTTAGATTGCAGTACTCTATCATGTTGAGCTTCCTCTTCAAGCTAAGGCCTTTCCAATTGTATGTTTGTGGATTATTCCCGTTGATCTGACCAGCAAGTGCAATGCTGATTAATTTAATACTCAGCCAACTAATATTAATAATCCATCTGAAGATGCATGGTGTTACTGCTATTAATGCCCAAGCAAATAGTTCTCGTTCTAATCTTTCATTGGGTTTAATTAGCAGGTAGCTAGCTCTCTTCCACCTGGTGGTTTTTCATCCAATCTATTCTCCTCGGAATTCATGCAGGCACGTAATCAGCTTCCCTGCCTGAGTGATTCAGCCTTCCAGCAGCCCTCTAACTAATGTGCTATTCTTCTACCAAATCAGACTGTCAAAGTGTCAAATCTTTGTTTCTTCAGGGTAGCACAGTACTCAAATATGCCATTAGAATAATTTTTTTGAAGTGAAATCCTGTGGCTGATGCAATGATTCCTGTCCATGCAGCCGGCGCTTTGTCCGGATATCAGAAAGCAGCTCCCGTCCTTATTTACCTTCTGGCCGATACTCCTAATAAGAGGTCAAGTTCGAAGTCTAGAGATAAAGTGTTGGAGAGAGATTCAAATTTACAAGAATCTCTCTCCTCCCTCTCGTCTTTTGTCCTTGCCGGGCCGGGTTGGGTCAGGGCGTGGGCGTGGGTGCGGGTGCGGGTGCGTATGCATGTGCGTGTGCATGTACATATACGTGTATGTGTACGTGTACGTGCAATGCATCAAATCTTTTTGGTCTAATCGAATTACACATTTTTTTTATAAAATTGAGTCTTTTCAATTTCGAATTTAATTTCAAATTAAAACGTTTTCTTTTTTGTGTCTCTTCTTCCTCGTGTTTCTTCGAACAGTGCATCGAACAGGTGCACTGTTCTGAAGAGTCTCTTGTTTGAAAAGACACATCTGTGTCCATTTGGGTCTGAGAGCACTCTATAAGAAGAGTGCTAGCTGACCTAGTACACATCATTTTTCGACATTCTTGTTTTCTCTGAGAAATCTGAGCATCAATCTTCTATAGTTTGTGGAGGTCTGGTAAGCGAGTGCATGCCTACTAGTGGCCTGTGGGCTGTTTTATCTTGGCGACCAGTTTGCAATCACTTGACTGCATCACTGGGGGCAAATACGGTTTTAAGGAGAGTAACCAAGTGGCATGACTCAGCCCTCCATCTTCTTTTAATTCCCAGTTTCGAGTTCCTACAACAACTTTACATCACTACAACTTCGGTTTGGAAAGCGATTATCGATAAGTTCCATCTGCTCTCTCTTTACTATTATTACAACATTCTTAAAACTGTATTTATGGAACCTATCTTTGCTAACCCCTTCATGAGGAACCAGATTCTGTCAACAATTCCTGATTTATCTAAAATTGAACACTTCAATGGAACCAATTACAAGCATTGGAGACAATGCCTGTTATTTGCCTTAGAATAGTTAGGGGTAGCTTTCGTTTTGATTGAACCGAACCCATTAAACATGGAGGAACCAACCCGTTCTGTTGTTGTAAAACATTGGGCTACAACCGACTGCTTCTACACCAATCATATCCTAAACTGCTTGTCCAACGAACTATACATTGTTTATTCTTTCTACAATTATGCCTATGAAATCTGGAATGCATTGGACATTAAGTATGCTATAGAAAATGCCAGAAATAAGAAATATGTCATTGCCAACTTCCTATACTTCACCATGAAAGAAGACATTGACATGTCTGCCCAAATAGATGAGTTCCAGGTTCTTGTGGGGGAATTGGCAAAAGAAGGCATGGTACTGCCAGATGAATTCATTACCAGTTCTCTCATAGAGAAACTGCCACATACATGGAATGATTTCAAGACCAGTATGAAGCACAAGAGGATTGACACTACTTTGGACCAAGTAGTGGCCCGAGTTAAGATTGAAGAAAAGAACATAAAGAAAGATGATGACCAGTTTTCCAAAACCAATCTGGTGGAGGAAAAGACTACAAAATTCAAAAAGAACTTGAATGTGAAAAATGATCAGAAATTCAAGAAACAACAAAAGAAAGGAAACTACTATGTATGTGGCAAACCCGAACATTACAAGAAGGACTGCCGGTACCGAAAGAATAAGGATTCTAAGAATCCGAAAGTCAATTTGACTAAGGATGTTATCGCAGCCATGGTAACTGAGGTAAAATTAGTTGATAAGCCGAAAGAGTGGATACTAGACATTGGTGCTACCAAGCACATCTGTGGGGACTGCATTTCCTTCTATGAGTATACAACTCAGACTGAAAGAAATCAAGCTTTCATGGGAAACTCAAAAACTTTGAAGGTCACTTGCAAAAGAAAGGTGCTCCTGAAACTGACTTCAGGAAAAATTCTAATGTTGGATGATGTACTGCATGTGTTGGAGATCCGACGAAAGTTGGTATCGGGAGCACTCCTCAACAAGGTAGGACTGAAATTCACATTTGAAGCGGACAAGGCCGTGTTGACTAAAAATAATGTATTTATTGGAAAATGTTACAATGAAGGAGGGTTGTTTGTACTGAATGTTTCTAATATTATTATGAATAAAATTATTTCTTCTTCTGCTTATATTGTTGAATCTTTTGATATTTGGCATGCTATACTAGGACATTGTAGTGCTCCTTATTTAAAATGTTTATGTAAATTAGGAGTTTTGGATGTTCCTATTAATTTTACAAATGAAAAATGCCAAGTAGGTGTAGAAGCAAAATTTACTAAGAAATCTCATAAAAGTGTACAAAGAGAAACTGAGTTACTATAATTTATTCACTGTGATGTAGGAGACCTTAAATGTCATGAGGCTAGAGGAGGAAAAAGATACTATATAACCTTTATAGATGACTTCTCTAGATATGAAAAAGTAGTTCTACTTAGACCAAAAGATGAGGTTGATCAAGCTTTCATAAATTACAAAATTGAAGTAGAAAAGTAGTTAGAAAAGAATAAAAAGACTTAGAACAGATAGAGGAACTGAGTATGATGGACAAACCATTAGGAAATTCTTTGAAGAAAATGGATACATGAAACCACAGCTCCCTATCAACCTGAATCTAATAGAGTTGCAGAAAGATTTAATAGAACACTAAAAGAAATGATGAATGCAATGCTAATTTGTGGGGGGAAGCAATCCTAATGGCTTGTCACCTATATAATAGAATACCACGCAAGAAGAAAGGACAAATACCCTTTGAACTTTGGCATAACAAAAAACCTAGTTTTAATTATCTAAAAGTTTGGGGCTACCTTGCAAAGGTTGGAATACCTGAACCTAAAAGAAAGAAATTATGACCGAAAACCTGTGACTATTTGTTCATTGGCTATGCACAAAATAGTACAGTTTGTCGGTTCCTTGTAATTAAAACAATTGAAAATGTTACCGAAAATAACACAATAATAGAGTCCTGATATGTAGAGTTCTTTTAACACATCTTCCCTTGGAGAAAATAAACATTAAATAAGGAACCTTCCCAAAACCAAGTTAGAAACCAAGAACAAGTGAGTGCTCAAGGAATCAGTACTTCACTTAGGTAAGACCTAGACTTAATGAGAAGTAAAGGACAAAGGAGAGAAACAAACTTGGGTGATGGAATGTTCACATTTCTGGTGGATAAGGACCCAGTAACCTATCAGGAAGCCGTAACTTCACCTGATGCAGTTTTTTGGAAAGAAGCCATAAAAAGTGAAAGACTTTTTAGTCACTAATCACACTTGGGAACTTGTAGATCTCCCATCTGGAACTAAGACAATAGATTGTAAGTGGATCTTTAAGAAAAAACTAAAATCAGATGGCATAATAGACAAATTCAAAGCCAGATTAGTTGTTAAGTGATTCAGACAAAAAAAAAATGTAGACTTCTTTGACACCTACTCCCTGGTTGCAAGATTAACAACATTTAGGGTTTTGTTTGCTATAGAATCCATTTATAAGCTAGAAGTTTATCAAATGGATGTGAAAACAACTTTCTTAAATAGGGAATTAGAGGAAGAAATTTACATTAGGCAACCTGAAGGCTTCATAATGCTAGGACAAGAAAATAAAGTATGTAAATTAATTAAGTTTCTGTATGGCTTAAAACAAGCTCCCAAACAATGGCATGAAAAATTCGATAATGTGTTAGTAACTAATGGATATAGCAGAAATGATTATGATAGATGTGTCTATAGCAAATTTGAAAATAATACAGGAGTCATGATTTGTCTATTTGTTGATGATATGCTAATAATGGGAACTAGTCTAGAGGTAGTAAAAGAAACAAAACAATTTCTAATGTCCAAATTTGATACCAAGGACTTGGGTGAAGTTGATGTAATCTTGGGGATTAAAATCCATAAAGGACAATGAAGCTTTATTCTCTCCCAATCACATTATGTAGAGAGTATTCTTAGGAAATTTGGACACTATGATTATAAACCGGTTAAAACACCTCTTGATTGTAGTATTCACTTAAGTAAACATGTAGGAAAACCTGTTTCACAAAAGGAGTATGCAAGTATAATTGGATCTGTATCTTACTTAATGAACTGTACAAGACCAGACATAGCTATAGCTGTGGGAAAATTAAGTCAACATACTCATAATCTTGGAAATAAACATTGGGAAGCTTTAGTAAAATTATTAAAATATTTAAAAGGAACCATAAACTTTGGTTTACATTACTTAGGTTTTCCTTTGGTTTTAAAAGGCTTTATTGATCCAAATTGGATTTCAGATTCAAAGGATAGTACTTCCACCAGTGGATATGTGTTTACTCTAGGTGGAGGAACAATATCGTGGAAATCGGTACAGTAGTCATGCAATACAAGTTCAACAATGGAGGACGAGTTTATTGCACTAGAATTGGTGGGATCCGAGGCAGAGTGGCTAAGGAACTTGTTGGCAGATATACCACTTTGGCCGCGGCCGGTTCTGTCGATATCCCTCCATTGTGATAGCTAAGCAGCAATAGACAGAGCCAAGAATCAGACGTACAACGGTAAAAGAAGACACATCCACTTAAGGCATAACTTTGTAAGACAATACTTCAGCGAAGGTATAATCACTTTGGATTTTGTAAGGTCTGAAAAGAACCTTATAGATTCGTTAACAAAACCACAAACTTCTAAGGTGGTTTATGAGACATCGATAGGAGTGGGGCTAAAGCCTGTTACAAAGTCATTAGTGATGGACACCCAACCTCTGTGAAAGGAAATCCCTGGAATTAGGTTGAATGGATAAAAACGAGTCACTGGATGACTTGGGAAAGCACTATCATTTGTATCCCATCTCAGATGCCAACCTAAGATAGTGCTCACTGCAAATTGAAGAGGTTGATCATGAGACTCTTAATTAGTTAGGAATAGTGTGAACAGTGCACACTAATAACTAACCTAAGTGAGTGTGAAGTGTGGCCACTTCTCTGAGAGATTTAGGGTTGAATTTCTAAACACACATGATTCCAAGAGGGGAATATGGCTGAAATGTTCCAAAACAAAATAACCACTAAAGAATTGGTGAGTTGAGTTGATTGGCCGGTTGGCTAGTTACGATAAAGAGGAAAGGTTGATGGAGTCTGACTCCACCCGTACTTTGTAACATAGTCTGTCATACCTAAGTGTTGATTGAAGTCCAAAAGACATCATCATGAATATTTTTCTCACTGCGATGCTCAGACTATTCGATTTTCTTGTAATTTTGAATCTTGTGGGGGATTGTTGGAAGGAGATTCAAATTTACAAGAATCTCTCTCCTCCCTCTCTTGTCTTTTGTCCTTTGCTCTTTCCATCTTTGAATGACTCATTGTCCTACATTGCTTGAGAAAGGAGTGGGAGTGGAGTATATTTGTAGTTTTGCTCCTTCTATGGGTAGCGACCCATAGGAGGAGATGACTATAGATATTCCATGCAGGGGGGGGGGGGTTGGGGATGCTTTTCACACACGCGTGCCGAGCCGAGTTAGGGTGCGGGCGTGTGTGCGGGTGCACGCGATGCACCGAATCTTTTTGGTCTAACCGAATTACACATTTTCTTTTTTAAAATTGAGTCTTTTCAATTTCGAATTTAATTTCAAATTAAAACATTTTCTTTTTTGTGTCTCTTCTTCCTCCTTGTGTCTCTTCGAACAGGTGCACTATTCTGAAGAGTCTCTTGTCTGAAAGGACACATCTGTATCCATTTGGGTTTGAGAGCGCTCTATAAGAAGAGTGTTGTCCGACCCAATACACACACCATTTTTCGACATTCTTGTTTTCTTTGATAAATTTGAGCATCAATCTTTTGTGGTTCACGGAGGTTTGGTAAGTGAGTGCATGCCTACCAGTAGCCTATGGGCTGTTTTATCTTGGCGACCGGTTTGCGATCATCCAACTGCACCATAGGGGGCAAATACGGTTTTAAGGAGAGTGACCAAATGGCACGACTCAACCCTCCATCTTCCTGCAATTCCTAATTTCGAGTTCTTGCAACAACTTCACATCACTGCAACTTTGGATTGAAAAGTGATTACCGATAAGTTCAATCTACTCTCTCTTTACCATTATTACAACATAAAGAGTTACCTATTTGTGAAGATGGGTACGTGTGGAACACCTACATTTGAGCTGTGCTAAACATATATATATATATATGAGAATTGTAAGCTCCGCTTGTGATATTAAAATTCCCTCTAGTTGACCTAGACTCCTTGTCAACCTCATCAAGTGGAGATTCAAGAAATAGGAAAAGGATTTCAAAGTGAGTCTTCAACTAGTTTAATTTATTCCTCCTTCAACTTTCTTCTTCATATACCCCACTTAATTGACTTATTGCCTAAATTTCATTTGGACTACTGATTGATTTCCCTTTACAATATCATCGTTTTATTCTTTTTTCCTTTTCCGTCTGGTTATCTACTTATCTTTCCAAAAGGGTTGCAAAATTTCTTGGTGAAAACTTGGGAGAGGAATGTTCCAAATGTTTAACTCTAATGCAATAGAAACCAACGTAACATGTATTTGAGGCTTTGAGTTTAAGCTTATCTAGCTAGTTAGATAGATATATCCTGTTTTCTTCATTCAGAAACAAGGAAGTGTCCCCGATCTTGTAAGTTGTAACTTCAAATCGTGATGGGTATCATAGAAAGGACTTGACTTCCTCACAAAAAATCGAATCAGAATAAACAATTTATGGTAGAATCAGTCAACCCACTTTTTCCCTTAACTCTAGTCTCCCTTGGACTGCCATTATTGGTAGGGGTGTCAATTGACCAGTTTTGGTTTGGATCCAATCCGATCTAAACTTTATCAACTCGGATTTGGACAGTCCATTACAATTATTGGATTGTGCCAATCCAAAATAAATTGGTCCATACTCTTATTGGTTTGAATTAGACCTAAACCAAATTTCCAATAATCCGATTATGAGGCCAAATCCTTGTTCAATTTGAAATCAATCAAAACTGAAAACAGCATAAAATCACTTTTACGAAAGCACTTTTATAAAAGCAATTTTATAAAAAGTATTTTTACAAAAGCACTTTTATGAAAATACTTTTACAAAAGCACTTTTATGAAAATACTTTTACGAAAGCATTTTTACAGAAAACACTTTTACAAAATCACTTTAACAAAAACACTTTTACAAAAGTACTTTTACGAAAACACTTTTACAAAAGTGCTTTCATAATAAAAGTATTTTGACACAAAAGCACTCCTATGAAATCATTTTTACAAAAAAACTTTTACGGAAGTACTTTTACAAAAGCACTTTTATGAAAGCACTTTTAAAAAAGTACTTTTATGAAATCACTTTTATAAAAGCACTTCTATGAAAGTAGTTTTATAAAAGTACTTCTATAAAAGTCTATGGAATTACTTTTCGAAAAGTGCTTTTAGTCAATAAAGTGCTTTTGTAAAAGCACTTTTATAAAAAAAAATTTATCAAAGTACTTTTACAAAAGTGCTTTTTCAATGCTAAAAGTGCTTTTATATAATTTTTGATATTATTCGGTTTGGATTGAATTTGATTTGGATTTGGATTGGATTGAGTCCAGTCCATTTATTAGTGGACTCAGATTAGACTGGATCGAGTTGGACCAAATCCGTCCAATTGACACCTCTAGTTGTTGGAATCTTTAATTTTAGGGCTCACTAATGGAATTCCTGGGTACCGGAAATTATACGGGAGGGGTAGGAAAAGGGTGGGGCAAGAAGTGGAAAAGTTGTGTAATTTGGTTATGTAGCCTCTGCCTGTTCTGTTGGGTGCTTTGTTTGGTTTTGGTTTTTAAATTTGGGTAGGTTGATTTTTGGTGGCTGGGATCGTACGTTCTGTTTTGTGGTCATCCGGTGGTGTTTTCTTTGGGGCGGGACCCTGGTTCATTTTTTATTAACATTAAAAAAGTATCTACTTAATTATATATTAGCAGTATAACAAGGAAACGGTCTATCTCTGACACTAAATTATATCAAGCTAAGTTTCACTCTCAAAGTTAAATCATAACACCATAAATAAATGAAGAAAATAGTCTCTTCGAATGGTTCTAGAACCATGTGCTTTGGCATCCAACTATAATTCAGTCCTTATCATTAGATTTCCGTAGTCAAAAACCTAACTACAGATAATCGATCTATTGACAAATTTGAATCTAGAGGATTAAAGTGCACATCTAGCAAAAACTAAGACTCTAACAACCAAACCCATCCCATCAGTAGAATTAGCACCCGCCCAACAAGGTGCAGTCCAATTATAAAAAGTTAGCTCATTCATTAGTTTTGTAATCTTCTATTGGGAAGTGAAATCTTGTATTTACTTCTTTGTTGTTGCATTTTCTTTTGTTATTTCATGGTTTCTACTTTCTAGCACAACAATAATAAAGAGAAAAAAGAATAAAATTCAAGAAAAAAATGTAGGAGATTAATTGTCAAGAAGGAAGAATGCTCTTTTCAGCCATGACTGTCCCCTTAAAGATCATCTAAACCACAAAGCTTCCAAGGTCTGGCCATTTAATTAACTCAGATGTTAAGGCTACTATAGAACTACGTACCCACAGATTAGACCACAACGATGAGGAAATGTACATTCATTTAACATGGTATAACAATGGTTGCCTATCTCTACAAATAAACCCCCTACAAGAAACTTTAATCTAAACTGGAATTACAACTCTAGCTTCTCCTATTTCTGAAGAATATGGTTCCTGTCATAAAAAAAAATTGATCCCCAACAAGAATATAAACATGCCGCACAAGACATACCCATATATAATACTTTGGGATGTTTTAGGCTTTTAGCTAACGTTTCTCATCTACCAGCTTGTAGACACCCCGCCGGCCCCTTTTTGTCTCCCTAAATTTTTCTTGTTAATCAATCTACATAATAGTTATATCAAAGGTAATTAATAAATACTTCCTAACACACCTCTTTCTTAATTAAGTTTATCATCTGAGGATGTATTTCAATGGTTTCTTAATAATGTCTTCTCGTTCTTTCTTTTTGTATGCTTGAGTTTCAGTCAGTTATTAACTTAATAAGAAATGGATCCATGACCATGCATATATGTTAAAAAAAAGGCTGTGAGCATCAGTTTCAGTCAGGTACTAACTTAACAAGTAAAAGCATGGCTAATAAAAAACTAAAAAGACTACAAATAAGAGATGATATACAAGTTTTTAAAAATTAATTAAGCAAGAGCCCAAACATGCAATAAGTTAAGCATCAAAAGATAGCATTATATACCCATGCATGAAATTTGAAATTTTGGCATAAAAATATGCTTGCAGAACTCTAATAAAACCTAAATACAATAAAGAGCAAATATTCAAAGCTACACTACCTGAAAAAAGCAAAATAAAATCAGTAAAAAATCCAATTGATTGATCAAACAGAAAACTCAAAAACTAAGAATGATTTATTCTGAAACTCAACATGTTGAACCACTAAAGCAAATAATTAAACGAAAAGAAGAAAATAAACAAGTTGAAACATAAAGGAAGGAGTAGAAACTTTATTACAGGCTTCTTTTTTACCTCCTTAAACCATCTTTGTACCCTGTTCAAGTTTTGAAACCCCAAATAAGAGCCTTCTTTGTAAACCATGGTGGAATAGAGAAAGTCCTAAAAACAATTGAGAACTTCATAACTATAGATATTTGAGTTTCCAACATCTTGGTTTATTAGTAATCTTAGGTTGGATAAAGTGACAAGAGTGTTTTTCTTTTTCTTTTTTGTCACAAAGTGACTGGAGTGTTTTAACCTTTAATTCAATCAAAAACAGGGATTAAAGGGTTGAGGTAGAATAAAAAGTTGAAAAAGGAAGAGTTCTTAAAAGAAATTTGAGAAAATTAAGAAACCAAGAAAGATAGTTGAAACTTTGATTTAGAAATATTATTGTCTCTCATTGGATTTTCAATGCTATAGAAGAGTAAAACAAATGTAGAAAAAAAAAGGAAGCATTAAAGCCAAGAAGAATATATGTCAGTGGAAGCTCAAAAAAAAAAAAAGAAAAAAGAAAATAAAGTATGGAATATGTTGAAGTGGTTGGGATATGAGAAGTATCTATAAAGAACTTTTATTTCTCTTTCCTGATTTTTGTGAATATATACAAAGAATGCCTATAAAAGATCAGTTGCATCTTTTGTTTTTATCATTTTTTATATAATCTCTATTTGGAGAAAATGGATTGAAAAATGGTCTTTCACATAACATGCATCATAGTTTTCTTAGCAACTATAATGCTCTTTCACAAACAATGTATTTTTTTTTTACTTACTTTAATATTTCAGTTCATATATGTAGGCATATAATGTTATGTATGTATGTGTATATAGAAAATCATTTGATAATGGATATTAGAGATTATTAGTTATAAAAGATTGAACCATGTTGGATACTCCATGTTTTTTTAGATTATAGGAGTTATTTATTTATAAAATCAAGATACTCTCTCTCTCTCTCTCTCTCTCCAGAAAGGAAAGGCCTTTACACCTAACCTAGAATAGTAAATTTTGGTCACTAAATTAAAAACATATTCTAGCAAATTCTCTTTGGTTTACCATAGAAAATTAAGCTGTCTTACCTAACCTCAATTGTCTGTCATAATCATGTCACATTCCATTTTACAACTCAATTTGTTCCTTTGCTGACTAACTTCATGTCATCCTAGATATGTATAGTTTGGTGGGGCTGAACCACTCTTTTCATTGAAAACTAAACTTTTCTATAATTGTAGTGGTCTAATTAACTGAGCTGGTATTGAGAAATGATTTAGACTAACGTAGTTGTCTTTGTTAGGTAGTTCTGAAGTGGTATCCATATATATCCTCAATTTACAATCTTAACCTTTTTATGTATATCATTTGAAAATGACAAATAATATAGAAAATTGATCATAAGAGTTCTAACTTAAGATGAATTATACATACACAGAGATTTTATATATATATATAGATAGATAGATAGATATTGTGAGATCAGCTCTGACATTCATCAGACTGGATGATTCTCTTAAAACCCTCCTCATGGGTTTACCAACTCTACATTGGAAATTTCGTGGGTGCCCCTCAAATGAGCTAAGTACAGCATTTTATGTATTACACTGAGCCTCTAAATGATATTGAAGGTGGCCTACATCATGTAAGAATTGCACTACAAGCAATCACAGAGACGTTGGATTATGATGATGTTCCATGTCACTGCAAAAAAGAAATTTGACACATGCATTAGGTTTATGTGAAAGTAATGTGTCTTGGAGAAGTGAACAATAAGAGTTAAAGTTTCAAAGCAAGATTCAAATAAATGACAAGAAACAAAGTAAGAAGCATTCATCTTTGCTGGGTCCACCAAATAGTTGAACAGAAAGCACCTTGAAATTGAGCCTGACCTGATAATAACATTATGAGTATTTATTTTAACTTTGATCACTTACTGCACAAGAGATGATCAGAAAAAGAAAAAGGAGGAAAACAAATTAAGAGCAAAGCACATGAAAAATGGAAGAAATAAGATTCATCAGATCATTTTCAGTTGATGATTATTCCAGTTCATTTTGAACATGTTGATTCGTTTTTCTTATTCTTAAGCAAATTAAAACATGTTATCTTCAATCTATTTCCCAATATCCACTTCATTCAGGCTTAATAAAAAACTAATAAAAAAAAATATGAGCAGCCAAACATCTCATATGACCATGCCTGGTGGGTTGATGCATGAAAGTATGAGCTAATCAATTCTATTACTATAAATATATGTGAATAAAAGTTTTAAAGAAGGGTTCCTCAAGGCAGCAGTTCTCTTAGGCATGAACTATATATGAAACATACCGACAGCACCGAAAGGATGAAATACCATTTGTACACGAAAGGACAGCCTCGAAAAGGCAAAATTAAACAACATAATTAAATGGTACATAGAGGACAATTGCAAAGAAGGATTGGACCCCACTCGAGGGATCCCACAAAGAGATGTATAGTTGAGCTGATAATTGGCTAGGTCACGTAATCTTGATCGTCCATCCATCAACTCTTGGGAATCCCTAGGGGAGTAATCATTTTGAAACCTTTCATTTGGGATGAGTTGGGATTGGGGAGCGCTCGTCACTTGAAATTTCTTCTATTTGGCAGATTTCAGAAACTGTCGAATCCATGTCTGTTGTTTCTATTACCACGCATGGAGAAGTAGATCTTCTTTATATATAAATATAATATTCTTGATGAAAAATCGTATTTGGGTGTCAATTAAGTCCTCTTATTAGCTAGGCTCCATTCGAATTTGGCGCAACTAATGGTACTTGTAATAAACCTCTGATCTCAAGGTTAATTTAGTCAATGAAAAAAGATAAATAATCATTACTCATAAATACATGTAACAAAGATGCAACGACCATGCATGTATAGAGAAATGTCTAAATTAATTAATTGCTAGAAAACTGGAGCAATCCCGATACACCACGTACATCAGGCTAAGCTTATGTTTTAGTCCGGATTTTTTGCTCACGAAAATTCTCTGTCCACACCTACCCACATAACATCACAGTCATACATGAAAAATATCTCATTCTCTTACATGTTATTGTGTATGGGGAGATATTCCTAATACGTGGAAATAATATTCTCTTAATAGATGTGAATAGAATTATTGTGAACAGGAGATTGGGAGTCATGACATTTTAATGTTAAGACTTGAAAGAGCCTGGATCTCCTGCCCACGTTTATCACAGTCACACATGGAGAACATCTCATCCTCTGCATAGTATTATGCAGAGGGAGATGTTCCCAACAGGAGGTAGTGTGTTGTGGGTAGACGTGGGCAGGAGATCCCAACTCGACTTGAAGGTTAGGACTGTAGATGATTCAAACCATATTCCGAGATATATTTCAAATAAAGATTTTCTTTTTGATAATAAATTAAAAATTGTTTATTAATAATGAAAGCTAATGGACAAGCTCTTTTTCTTAATCACATAAACAACCGTTGGCCTTTGCTATATTATAGGTCATATCTCGATTGTTGTCCTTTTGTATCCTCTACGCGCGGAAGCATTTTCTTTTATAGGGATTTGGTCTCCCGTAGAGGATCTGAGCTCCACTCTCACTGAAGGCAAGGGTACAGTATTAGAATTTAGAACCAACCCAGCCAACAAATTGTTAGGTTCCAGGTCAAAGGAGAAAAACCAAATTTTCCCTGAAATTTTTGTTACGTTTATTCCAAGTTGTACACATGCATTCACGAGTTTCTTACACTTTAAAGAAGTACAATTTTCATTAATTAATGTAAAAAGCAATTTCATCTAATCGACTAAAATGCTGAAAATATTAAGAAAAATAGAAATATATACATTCCATCAGTTGAATTTTTCATTAAAGTATGAATTGTGAAAGAAATCTGGTGAACATGAATTAACAATATAAACTAATTATTGAACATAATTGTTAGAGGATAAAATACTATTCAATGATATCACCTGAAAGTTTAAGCTTTTAGGGTTAATGGTCTCTTGGCAAGCATGTTTAATCAAATGGTTTAGTGTTCAATCCTTCTCACTCCAATTATAATTAACTAAATTTCAATACAAGGTATGAATGGATTTATATTCCACACTTGGAACCCAATAAACTTTCATGATAAGCAACATATTTGGAGACATGAAAACTAATAAGCGATCTCAACTAGCTAATAGAGTAATAGCTTAAACTTTCAGGTTTAACTGTTCCTTGACAATAATTAAATGCACTACTGCACTAATGGACAACAATATAACACCACCTGGAGCTCAAGGGTATTTAAGTTTTGTTCTTGAGGCTCAGTTCCGAAGGAGTACAAATACAAATATGTAGAGTAAAAACCTTTTATATTTTGTATTATCTTATATATATTTACACTCTACGTATTTGTATTTGTACTCCTTCCAAACTAAGCTTGAAAAATTTAGTACAGTGTTTGTTAATGCTTGCCACAATAAACTTTGAAATCTAAGGACAAATATACAATATAAATTAACCATCACCAGCAGCTAATTTAGCATGTAGTACAGTCGGTTATTATTTAGTATTATTATCAATTAAGCACTAGCGATAGACAGATAGTGATGGTGGGGGAGAGAGAGGGATAATTATAATTTATAATAAATAAAAGAAAAAAAAATCTATTGGAACCAACCATCTCGCCTGGATATTCTGCTGGTTCATGCCTACCCTTTTCAGTATTTTGGTTGAAACTGTTCAATAGTTGGGAAATTCCGAATCCACCCTTGTCGTTGTTGTTTTTATCTCCTCCTTGGAGTCGACTGTGAAGAGATTAATGGCATGTACAGAACTGAAGAGTTTCTATTCTAAGGTGGGCTCATGGCGATCTGAGTCACAAATTAACCCAGACTGAATCAACCGACTTATTAGAGAGTTAGAAGATGGTAGTTACTGGTTACTATGTGTATATGCTAATGAAAAAGAGAATGATTATGTTGGTGATGGCAAACAATAATTGTAGGTTTTGTGGGAAAACATAGCTTTAATTTAATGCTTGTATTAAAGAGAGAGAGAGAGAGAGAGAAAAAATGATCGAAAATGAGAGGAAGAAAAGGAGGAAGAAAAGCACCTCCATAGGGCCCATGGCATGTCTCCTCAGTAGGCCCCCGCGATGTGATCTCCATCTTTCTCCACTGCAGCTCCTCCTATTACTTTTGCCTATCTTCATCCCCATTTTCTTGCCTTGTTTCTCCAAAGAAAACAGCAGAAGAGAGTAGTGATCATCATCGGCAGGGGCGATGTCTACTGGCCGAGCAAAAGATTCAGCAGAAGGATCGTCGAGATCCGCTGGTGAACAGCAGCAATCGGCTCCACTGAGCCGGTACGAGTCACAGAAACGAAGAGATTGGAACACCTTCGGGCAGTACTTGAAGAACCAGAGGCCCCCCGTTTCACTTTCACAGTGCAGCTGCAGCCATGTACTGGAGTTCCTGCGCTACCTAGATCAGTTCGGAAAGACGAAGGTTCACTTACAAGGGTGCATCTTCTTTGGGCAGCCGGAGCCGCCTGCGCCTTGCACATGCCCTCTTAGGCAAGCTTGGGGAAGCCTCGATGCACTCATTGGCCGCCTCCGAGCTGCTTACGAAGAGAACGGTGGCTCTCCGGAGACCAACCCTTTTGGCAGCGGTGCAATCCGTGTTTATTTGCGTGAGGTGAGAGAGTGCCAAGCTAAGGCAAGGGGAATCCCATACAAGAAGAAGAAGAAGAAGAGAAACCAAATCAAGACCCACGACGATCCCAAGCCGACGACGACTATGCACTCCTCTTGATTCCTTTGCCTTCTTCTCAGAATGGTAATTATATTTCGTTTTACAATATAAATTAATTATATATATATATATATATATATATATACATATATGGCCGGTGGCTCTGGTCATATTCAACTTGGAAGCTGAATCTAGATAGTACTGGCCTACACCTCAACTTCATCTACTCAAATGATGAAAAATAATGGAAATCAATCTGTCTCTACTCTGTACAACAATTGCACAAAGGATTTTTGTTAACAATCCCCATAAAAGACCTGAGAAATGGGAATACCTGCAGCTAGCTGCTACTGTTAGGGGCTAGAGCCTGGTAGTTCAATTCTTGGACGTACTGTACATGGCAGCCATGAGATTGCTGAGATTTGGTGTTCCATCGATTGTAGCTCCCCACATCCCACCCAAAAGAAAATAAAACCAAATTGGTTTGTTATATTTGAGCCATGAATCTGACGACTTCTGCTACTAACAAGAACTAAAAAACAATTGATATCCATTAAACTACAGAGCAGTACACTATTAGGAGCAAATAATCAATTCTTTAGTGAAGGGGGCTGCATTCCCTTCATGGCAAACCCTAGTATCCGACAACCCCAGAACTGATTGCATAATTATTTTAAGAGTATGAACGAAGACTTGTAGAAAAAAAAACTGTACCCGATCGACAAGACTCTGAGAAAAATTTATACTCAGTAACTTAACAGGTTTTACCATCTCAAACATAAGATGCAATGATGAAAATGGGAAGAATCTCTCTCTCTCTCCCCCGCCAGAAATACTGTTTTTCCTGGTTTCACGATTTATAATATTTCTTAATTGCATGTCTACTTTTCGCTAGTTTTTGGCTCTTTTGAGATTCTGCACGATTTTCTGCCCCCCATGGATGGTTATTTATTTATTTATTTATTATTATTATTATTCATGGAGCTAGCTATACAAAGGTATGTAGCCCATCTCCAAATTAAGACCCATTGACCCTCTGGTGATGGCAGGGTTCGATCCCAACCCTCCACTACAACCGGCCAAAGACTTTACCAACTGAGCTGAGCCAGTGGGTACCTTCCATGGAGTGTCATGTAATGATATGATAAACCCTTTCTATGTAATTTGTGCCAGCATCTATATAATTCATGGACGCGGGGGGGGGGGCTTGTAAGCTTTTTGTATAACTTCCTTTTCTTTATTAAAACATAGTAATCCTCGCATAAACACAACCAAAATCATCATTGCATGTCTTTGAAATACAGCTGCAGCCAATGGCGCCTTTATTTAATTTAGCAAAGCAAAAAATGTCCTTCAGCCCTTTGGGTAGCCCTTGAATGAGATCATGGGGATGCCTGAGAAAGGTGTCTGGTTATATGCATACATTTGCATATTCTTAAGGACAATTTTGTAATATCATATGCTTATATAGTAATCGTCCTTCCTTGCTCTTCTAGATTGTCTTTTGCCACTATTTGAGATTATATATGTTGAAGTACGTGAAAGTTATTCCATTCTCTTACATTGCTTTGGTTTTCTTCAGTCAACAATGTACTATAACAGTTTCATTTTCACCAAAATAACCTTTTCATAGGGGCTAATAACCTTTCTTAATTATGAGCTGACCAGCTGAAGAATTTCTCTAGCAAGTTATGAAAATTGATATGTAGTACTCTAGATCTTCAAACCCTTATTGCCCATTAATATTGCAATCTGCATTTTCTGTCAGATCAGGTTCCTGAACATGATCCCAATAGTTTGAACATCTTGTCAATTAATGACAAATGAGATTCTAGCTTTTTTTTTCTTCTGTTTGATCTTAACCTTTAAGTCCAATGAGATCTAGTTGTAGTGGTTTCATCTCCTGTGCTTTTTGTGTTTGTCATTACTAATTATCTCAACCATATGTAGACCTATGAATGGAGGAAATATATGCATGCTTTATGAATTTTTATTTTAATTAGCTTTTCATTTGTGGGCTATTGATCATTGTTATTTGGTCGAGAATGATTTTTATCACCAATTTCTATCTACTTGATGTTTATACTGTTTAGGAGACTTATTCATTAACTCATGTTTGCTATGGTAGGATATATGATGAGTTCATCAATATAGAAATGTGGAAGAACTAATAGGTGGCTGTGAGGGTTTTATTGCACATTGAAGTCATGAAAAACGATTTTCTTCAACTAATTTCCACTTGGATTGAATTGCTCATAATTAGCACTTAATTCATTCTAGATATTGAAAGTTCTAGACTTTATTGAACCAAAGATGATTTTTTTATAGTAATTAAAAAAAAGTTATAGTGATCACTCCTCCATATGCTTTTGTTGGGTCTCTCATACTACAAGTTAAATGAAACAAAGTTATTCTACATTATAGTGTCAAAATTTCACTAGGGAACATGGTTTTTATCCTCAAAAGTATGAGTTTGTGATTATCATGGTCAGTAGTGCAGTGGTTTTGCTCACCAAAGAAATAGCAATTCTAATAAGCTCACTAGCAACTACTACTTCAAAAGGTCAACACATAAAAGGGCTATTATGCACAATGTTGATTTCAGCTATTTCAGGTATTGGAAAGGATGGACAGGATACAGATCTAACCTTTGCCATTTTTTTGCAATGGGTGCTTTTAGACTTGAACCATCATTCTCACCGTTGGCATATCCAAGTGGGCGTTGGCGTTGGGATCGGTGCAGGAAACGGGCTACTTAACTTGCAACCAATCAAAAGTGAATATGCCAGCATTCCGAAATGTTAAGGCATGTGTACAAAACGCTGGTGTGTTCACTCTTGATTGATTACGTAACCCGTTTCACACGCCAGTGTTCATAACAGATTCTGTGTTGTCTAAGTGGAGGATATGCATTGTTCCAACTGTATGCATATTTATCTAGTTTCATTGATGGATCTTTTAATGGACCCCCACCATAGATGATTACACATCCTAGACCTAGCAATTGGGTTGAGTGGGTCGGGTTCGGGTTGGGTCATGACACTTCGGGTTGAATTTCGGGTCGGGTTATCAAATGCTAGACCCTAACCCTAAATGCTCAGGTTAGGGTTGACCCATGGGCCAATTCGGGTCATCCCAAAAAAATAACTGAAATTTAAAAAAATTAAAGAAAAATTACATGAAAAATACCAAAAATTAAAGGAATTAACATTAAAATTCCAAATATAAAATAAAAAAAAAATTGAACACTTAACAATTTAAAGAGTAAACAATAAAGAGTAAAGACTAAATAAAAAAATTAAAAAGTGAAAACTTCTAACAATGCATAAATAGTCCCAATTAGACTTGACAATCGGATCAGCGGGTTGACCCATGACCCAACCCAATCCAGTTTATTTCGGGTTGGGTCATTCTCACATTCAGGTAGCTAAATATGAGACCCTAACCCTGTTTTTTCAGGTTGAATTGGATCGGGTTCGCGGGTTGGGTCAACTTTTTGCCAGGTTTACTAGTAATGCAAATTACATGCTATGTGGACATTCTTGATACATCTTCCTAAAAAAAAGGCAATGTTTGGTTTGAAGGAAAATGTAAGGAAAGGAAAGGAAAGGCAAGGAAACTTTTACAAACCTTATATAGGTTTTGATATCTTTTCCTTCCTTTCCCTATATTTTCCTTCAAACCAAAAATAGCCTAGGATTTTTTCAATCGGATTTAGAAACCAAAAATTTATTGAAGCAAGGATTTTTTATGAATTTATATAGTATAATGGTTATTATGACTCTTTAATGTTCTTCATTTAAATTTGATGATTAACATTCTTTGCTTGATGGTTTGCCTATGAGCAGGATCATGTCACAAGCTAATTATCGAACGGGAAGGAAAGCAAACGATATATCTTGAAATCTTGTAGTATTATTTCAATTACTGCTTTTATCTTTCAAGTGTTTAGAATCAAGAGCTAGTTACTATAGTACCTAGCTATTACAATATTCGTGTAGTAGCTTTCCCATTGTTATTACCTTTTTGCCCTATGTAAGCTCTTTTTACATCCCGACAGCTATAATTAATAACAGTGATTTCATGCTAAATGCATCACTTGCTTTGTGCAAAATTTGAGATTTCAGCTCAATTTTTCAAGCCTGAAATCTAATTAATGTTATATATTCTATTATATAAGTAGATCAGTTGATGCAATCCTACATGTATCATTGATTAATCAAAATATAGCTTGAATTTAATTGAACTTATGATCTACAATCTTCCATATTAATACAAAAAAATAAAAAATAGAAGAAACTTTTGGAAAAGAAAAAAAGTATCCAAATATTCAACTATATATTTATAAAAAGAATGCTTTTTGGTATAAAGAAGAGTCAAAGAAACTTTGAAGAATAGTTTGAACATTATCAGGATTTACTAATTTTATTGAATTAATAGCAAGAAGACTCTTAAACATTATATAGTCCCCTTAAATAGAATGAACGGATTCTACCTTGAAACTTAACTCTTGACTTCAGGATCTTTTAACGAAATGCATATCAGATGTACATGCATGAAATATTTAATGAAATGAAATGGAAAATAGATATATTTTTAGTGCTTGCTCTGCCTTTCTATTCTTTGTTCTTCTCTTCTCAAAAGGTTGACATTGTTATCATTTTTCACAGAGGAAACTCTTCATGTGTAGATACAAATTAAAGTTCACATAACAGTTGGTTTATTAGATTTCAACTTTTTATGATTATATTCTTTAATACTATAAATAACCAAGGTTAATTTGGTCTATTTGTGCCTTTTTATTGGATTTTTCTAATTTTTGTGGTCTCATTTTAGGCATTGGGAAGGGGTAGTTAATTTGATCCCCATTGGTCTCATATACATCTTGAGAATCTGATTATAACTTTGATTATTGTTTTTCAAAGAACAAGAGATGGTTCAGATATATAATGTTTCTTCCCCATGAAAGCTTTTTATTCCTATTAATTTTTATCTATAAAAGGACATGTAAAAAATTCTGGGAATTAAGGTAATTTTAATAAGATATACCACTTCATTTATGTACGTAGATATAAGTTATCATCAGCAATACTGATACATTTCATTCACATGATGAAAAGCATCTGCTTTTAAGTACTAATGATGGACTAAAATGCTTGGATTAACATAGATCATAGATGCTTCCATGTCCTATTATGAAACTCATGGCTACTATTTCTGGGACTGTTTTTTTTTTTTTTTTTGAATGAGATGAATTAAAAAAAAAATAGATTAATACAAGCAGAGAACAACAAACAGCAAAAGAACCCTACAAAAACTCAGGGCATCAAAGCACTGCTATGCAAGATTTCTCTATGAACACCTGTTTTTGCCAAAAAGTCTGCAACTGAGTTAAACTCCCATGAAATCTCCACGTAATAACAGAAGACAAAGTTGTAGTCAAATCTATCATCACCTATTTGTTAATGTAGGTGGTGATACAGCCTCCAATTAAGAACCTCCTGTCCTCGAATTCATCCACCTAATAACATTGGACAATTGTTAAATTGAATCCCCTTTTTTCTTCCGACGACTCTCTTCATCAAAATGCAAATTTGAACTCCAACTGTCCAATTTGTTTCCAGTTAATATGATTTATTAGAGAATTGTTCTATTTTCTTTATTGAAAGAAGAAAATGAGCAAGAAATACAACTTATGGGGTGGAGTCCGGATCTGCTACCAACATTTTGGTAGCAACTTCACTTGAGGTAGCCACACATCTCAAACATGCTTCATATATACTTTATTTGTATGTTGCCATTGATGGGGGTCATACTACGGGGAAGGCAATCAAGTTTGAGTTGAGCTCCCTAGGAATCCAAAGAGAAAACACTGACATATATGGCAGTGGCCAGGTCCTTGGCCTCACTAGCTAAGACAATGGTCCAACCACCAAGGGCCCCCCTCCGTAGAGGCCAGCCATTAATTTGGTTGTGTCTGCAGAATCACCTTCAACGACAAAGCAACATAAGCCAAGTTGTTTGGCTATTCGGAGGCCAGTAAGTAAGAAGGGCCAAAACCTCTGCCTTTATCGAGTATGGAAGCGATATAATGCCCATACCAATTACATGTTAATTCTATTGCTGGTAGCAGATTTGGAAGGTAGACGTCTGCCTTACTTCAAAGAGTACATTCACTTGTCTTTGTTTTAACAACAACGATGGAGCCTCACTCCATCCTCTGGGGTTTATCTAGTTCAACATCAAAAATCCCTTCATCTCAATTATTAATAATATATATATATAAACTAGCTAGCTCTAAATCTTCTTACCCTTTTGTTGATGAAAATCTGGTTTACATATCTACAAAATTTTTGCAAATATAAAGAGCGACATTGGTGGGTAAATGAGGAGAAAGGAATGAGAGTGCCCCCAAAGATGTAGGAGATATCATGCATTGAGATATAGGACTATCTCGTGCAGAATTGCATGCAAAATTGATAATAGCTAGAGTTGTGCATACGATCGACTAAAATTCAAACATAAAATTCCCCGTCCTTTCATTACTACCCTCGTTCAAGCTTCTTACATGGATCAATTGAACAGTAAGTTTGTGAGCTCGAACGGTTCATAAGATGCATGCACCTACGAATGAAAAATGAGCATGTCACCTTATTAACTTAACAGGAATTTAATGGAATTGCTCTATTATGGCTGGTCCAMCCAGCCACTAAAAGACAAAAAAGTGAAAAACGACAACCTCCTCCATTTGAATTCCCCTCTCATCATCTTTTGGCATCAAATCACAGAAACCAAGTTGGGAGACCGATGGTCCGTGACCGGCGGGAAAATCATCATCTTCTTCTTCTCTTCCTATCACAGATGGAATGGAAGTGCAAGATATGTAGGTAGAAAAAGAAATATCTGAAAACAACGAAGAAGGCCAATATCAATCGGATCACTCGCTCTTGCATTGCCACCGACATATTAGCTGATTTCATGCACCGTGAGATCAATGTTTTCTGCTCTAGCATTCAGACTTTCAGGGTAATCTTTTGCTACCAACTTCTATGTGTCGGGATCAGATCGACTGTAATCCAAACTTCATGTAAATGTGCTACAGCCGATTGCTTCTTGGATTATTCAGTCCATAATTTCAAGTGTTTTAATGCTCTTGGAAAATCTATATGTACTTAGCGAGGATTTGGGAATTCTTTAAAGCTACTAGAAATGAGGTTTAACTGTGTAGTTTTGATTGCCCTATTTTTTTTTTCGCTCTTCAGGGAATAGGAGAAAGCAAGGGATGAATTTTCTCTCCTAATACCTCAAGTAAATTCGGCTTTATTCATGCTTTCCTTTTCTCCCCCTCAAATTTCAGAGCTCAGCCTACTTTAATGATCTTAATTTTGAAGGTTAGGCTTACTTTACTCCGACAGCAATTGGTAGCGATTGATTCTTCGCCGTCAGATCAGACAGAGGGTGTTGGGATTCTAGGACACGACCTTAAGATTCCAGAGGATTGTAGTCGATCAAAATGAGAAAAAGAAAGAGAAAATGGGAAAAAGAAGAAGGTGGAGCAGAAAGAGAAGAAGAAGAACTTATCGTCAGTCTTTGGTCGTCGATTGATGCCTCACGCTCAATGTCGATTGTTGTGGTGGTCAGTGGTCTAATTACAGTACGTTGAGACTTGAGAGACAGTGGGAGGGGAGTTCGAATCAGAAGTATTATTGGGTTTTATTGTTTTAATCGTCTTTTAGTGGTTGGTTCAACCAGTCAGACCCTTATTAACCGAGCAGCCCAATTAAAGTCCTGTTAACTTATCAAGTATATGCTTGGAATCGATGCTGCAGTGCTGTCGATGTATGGGTTGGAAGCACCGTTTTCTGAGAAAATAGTGTCTGTGTCTTTTTCTTGTTTGGAAACGTTGCTGCTGCTAGGTATGATATTTCCCAGAGAAACAATGCTTCATTAAACATTTTCAGCACTGGTACTTATTATCCAGTGCCATGTCATGTCCTTGTCACTACCACTTCATGTTCCTCTTGGCAGCAACGAGCTACAGCTCTACTCTAGGAAACATCAAATTTGACATTACTCCAAATCACACTTTCCTGAAACACCATTTTTTTTAATATAATATTGATATGTCACCGTTTTCTGGAACAACGGTATCGATGCCAAACAGACGCTAAAATGAAATATTCATTTTTCATTGGCGGGTGCACGAATCCTATGAACCTAAGGGTCCACAGGAAGTAATTAAAATGCAAGGTAACAGTCAACTTTGATATGTTGGTGGTGGAGAGATGAAATTAATTATGAGCACTCATATATCGTTAGAAAAGTAAACAAGTGGCAAGCTAAGAAATTAAGGACCATGTTGTGATGAAGAAATTGCATCTGTTAATCAAACATATGCGATGCTGACTAGTTGATATTTTGCACCATTTGTGAATTGGGAGACCATTTGTTTCTTCTTAGATTACGAAATCAAAAACTGGGCCCTTCAAAGATGCCATTAACAACGGCAATAAGAGAAGCCAGCTCAATCAACATAAAGCAAATTAGAAAAAGTAATTTAATAGTAAACATATATTATGAAACCCAAGATCTGATGTGTATTATTAGTGAAAAAGTGATTAATTGATGGTGCACTTAATTGGTATTGGGCCTCAACAATCAAGAGACCATCATCATCAGTTGCCTCTCAGTGCATCGATCAGATCAAAGATTGGATGTAAGAAAGATATTACCTGCAGATTTTAATGAACAATTAATTAAGCAATCCACCCAATCAACAGAATGAGGCAAATTTAATAGAAAACAAAAATTAAAAATTATGTGATGGTCATATATATAAGAGTAAGTAAAGAGCTTATTAAGTGCATTTCAAGAACAAACAACTATTAGATGAAACTTGCATAAACTCGTAAATTTATCTTACGAGTTTAATAAAGAATGTGATAAGACTATGATAAAATGAGCATCAAAAAACAAGGCATCAGCAAGAAAAAAAAAACAGTCGATTGCTTGATGTTAGGTGAGATAGAAGCCAAAATATATAGGTGTTGGAATGACAAAGAAAAACTATAGAATATTTAGATTGAGTTTGGATGGAGTAAAGAAGAGAGTAAG